TTATTATGTCCACTGAAGGCAGAATGGACTCAGAACGTTTGTCCTTTTTTCTCATATTGGTCAGAGAACTAGTTATGGGTGAAGAACTCTGGATTTTTTCTTTTACCATCTGTAGCCTTTTGAATCTGAACAATTCTAGGACTTCTGGTTCCCAGATATAGCCCTCAAATTTAGTTCCATTCCAGTTGTCTCTCAGTGGTCGCACTTTTACTTTAGGCTGATATATGAGGTGAGGTGGGACAAATACTGGTCATCCAGGTAGCCCTGGCATTCTAGATCCCCAAGAATCTTTTTAAATGAATGCTCCAGGTTTTGTGTAGAACTCTAGAAAAGGAACAAGGAATCCTGCCTACAGCAGATGATACAGAACAGGCTGAGTTCTTGCTTGGTGATATGGATTATTGTAATGGAGAGGCAAAAGTCTCTGGGTCAGGAATATGCAACAGGCTAGATACTTTGAAGATAAAATTTAGACCACTATTATTTTCAGAGCTGAGGACCAAGCCTAAGACCTTTTGCTTGCTAGACAAGCACTCTACCACTGAGCTAAATCCCCATTGCCTGACTTTTAAGGACATACTTTAGAGAAAAGTTAGAGGGAATTGGGGGACTTAAGACTACCAATGTCTGAGGCCATCTCATAGACTTCCCTAGAATGTGTTGGACTGATCGTGTTTGTCTTTGGGGGATGTTATTTTTATAAAGACAACAGACTTAGTAGGTGGGTTGATAGCATTGAGCTCACCAGGATGAGGACACCCCACTCAATGATTAGTCTGGAATTCTTTAAGGAAGGAGGAGATGCAGCAAGTTGATGAAATGAAATGTGGAAGTGCCTGCAGTTGAGAAGTGAGGATGAGGTGGGTCACTCCAGAATGTTAACCAAGAAAAGTCAGAATAAGAAAAATGAAATATGGGAGGAACTCTGACATTATATGAGAAAAGTATGTATTTGTTAATGCTTTGGTGATTGGCATTACACATCATCCTGGCACTTTAAAAACTAATACAATGGGATCCTTCTTTGAGGAATCATTTCTACAATTGATATAATATTTTATATTAAATTCATCTCTGAAATCTTATAAGAAAAGAGGAACATTATGGACCATGTTTCTGTTAAAAGAAGTAGAAAAGAATTATTGAAGCAGATTTTGGGTTAGTCTGAGCTTCTTGGTAGGAAGGGTTATTCTTATGTTACTTTTGAGACTTGTTTGTTCCTAAAAATATCAGCTGAAGTCAAGATTTGGAGTTTTATCAGACCAATACATCATGCAGTATAACACCATTCATATTATGCTATGTTCATATTCATTGGTTACTCAGATGAGAGCTTGGATCATGGTGAGTGGCACATCCTGGTTTGCATGTACTGAGGATGATAAGTGTAAATGGAATGTATGTGATCCACACAGTTGGTACTCAGGATGTCAACTTATATCTGTACATGAAGCCTTTGACTCTAAGATCTTCAATAAACATTCTTCTGTGTGTCTCTTTTGAGGCCTTAATTGGCTGTAAAACATCTAGTTAAATTGAGGTCTGGGATCAGTGTGCCTCAAGGTTCCCTCTAACTAGCAAATATGTTAATGATGTCCATTTGCTTTCATCTGTAAGGGAGCCATCAGCTCAAATGACAACAATTGAGGTGTTTCTGGTTCCCTTTTGGTTAGGGTGTTGGATGAAGAAGAGAATATTCTGCCCACAAATCCTTAAAGTTCAGGGATTCTGAGTTTAATTCTTGCTCAGTAGGCTGCAGGTCTCCACTGATAGCAGTTTATGGTCAGGATGTTTCTTCTCTTGGATTGCCTGGACTCCTTTCACACAGGGCTTGGTCCTTGGCTACTTGATATCAGTGTTTGGCCTAGGAAGAGTTCTCTATTGTGGTTGGAGCAGGTTCCATTTAAGTTGTCTCTTCAAACTGTGCTTCCTAGGGTCAACATTAAGTCTGACCACGTATCTCTCATTGGGTTGGCAGGAGCTCCCTTGATTTTAGAGTTTGTGGTTTATCTTCATGAAGGTCTATTGTTGGCCTGTAACATTTCCACTTTTGATTTTGACTGGCTTGTTCTATGAGTTTTGTATGAGCTCTGAATTCTTCCCAGTCAATATTTGCCCCAGACCTGCTTCTTCATTTGGTCCTTGGAGAATGTCCCAAGTCGTCCTCTCTCCCTGTTTTAGTTTATGCTTTTGTCAGGGTAAGTGTTAGCACTCTTGCATTCTCCTTTTCCTGCTTTGCCCCCGACCTCTTTCATTTGAGGGATTGATCTGGGCCCACGTTCTTCCTTAGTTTGGCCCAGTCTTCTTCCGGGTCAGAGGTGTGCTGAGGCCAACTTCTCATCTTGGTGAAGGCCCTGGCTTCAGTCCAGGTAAAGTTGGGGCAAATATACTCTCCTTTTCTTTCTTTGAGCCAGGTCTTTTTCTTCTGAGGAATAGGGCAGAACTCATCTCCCTCTTGGATGGGGCCAGCCTTCTTCAGGGTCAAGGTTAGGCATGGGTGTTCTTTTCTTTTCTTTTTGTTTAATTTCATTTTGTTACTTTTCCTTCTTCTCCTTTGCCTTGGCTCTTCCATTTAATCAACTGGCCCAGGGATTCCTCTGTTTTTCCTCTGAGTTAGAGCTTATGCAGCTTCAGGTTTTGGTGAAGGCCTCTTTTAGGTCATGTTTGGCCTTTTTATTCCTAGGGTTGGTCCCTGGCCTTTCTGGGTGAGGGAAGCCATTGCTAATGTAGGCATTATTTCTGGTCTTCACCAGGTTCATCCTTAGGCCTTGGAATACTTCTGTCTTGACATCATGGTTTAATGGTTAATCCTGGTCTACTTTCACTTTAGGTGCTTAGCATGTGCCTTTTCAGGGGCCATGTTGGCCTGGGGTACTTTAAGGGTGTGGCTGTGTCCAGGCAGTTTTTGTGTTAGAGTTAAGCCTGGTTATATTGATATTCTGGGAGTGTTGGTACCTGTTTCTCTTCAGGGTTGAAGCAGCGGATACTTTTGAGCGCAGGTTTGACTGGAGCAACTTTGTATTTGTAATTAGCCTTGGATTATGCTCAGCCATTCTGAATAAAAATAACATCTGGATATTGATAGAGGACTGTATTTATTGTGCTTCTCTTACATCTCAAGTATATTCTGAGGAATATTGGCTCTTTCCAAGGGAAATGGGCACAGACACCAACACACAGCACAGACTCCAGATGAAATAAATTACATATTACACAAAAAGAAAGGGGAAGTGGAAAGAGACAGTGGTGCTTGGGAGAGTCCTTGCTGTTGCATTGGTGACTGTGGCCATGGTAAAGAGGCACCATGAGCTCATGTGGAAAATTGTTGTTTCTCAATAAAGATAACAAAATAGAGTCCCAACAAGGTCCCTGCTGCCTTTCCTTCTGTGATCTGCTCCCATGAAGGGATATCACAGGGAGTTAATATAACAACAGAGGCTGGTCCTCCATTGATCTAGATGCTGCCTTGATAGGCACATGAGTGTTGTACAGATCTTCATGGGGCCTCTTATGCAGTGTGGGAATGGTGTCCTCTCCTGTATGTCATTCATGGCATGCACTATGAGGGTGTTCCTCTTGTCCTTTTCTATGGAAACACTTCTCAAAATGTCATTTTTCTTCTACCTTGAAAATCCCTGGAACAACGAACCATGCCTTTATGATCCCTTTCAAGAAAGCTCCTTGTAATGTCCACTCATTGATGTGAGATCAGGTCTTCCCACAAAGAATGTCTGCACTGACTTACCAGAAATTGATTCCTGCTCATGTTATGATTGTTGTGAATCACAGCCCACTTTAATAGAGAGAGCTGCAAATGCATCAAGGGCACACATGTAACCATGACAATGATTCCTTGTGTGGTGTCACAGAGGCCAGGCCACACTCTGCTCAGGGAAGCACAAAGGTGGTGAAGCTATGCAGATGTCTTTGGACTGGTAATTAGGGGAGGTGCCTGAAGGCTTCAGTTAACATCATTGCTTGGGGACAATTTTCCATCCAATCATCATTTCCTACTACAGAACTTCACTGCTGAGAAGAGGAAGGTCATTGGGGAAAGGACAGACTCAGTCCATATGTACACAGTTCAAATATTGGTCTATCATTTCTGATGCTCAGTTTATCATCAAGAGTCTCTCATCATAAGGCTTGTATTGTGCCATCTGCAGTACCTGCAGCTTGGGAAACAGAGCTGTTTGAAATGTGCCCTCCAGCCTGTCCCTTCACCATCATTAAACACACCTTGACGTGAGATTGACCAGAAAGCAGAAAGCCATGAGGCTTTCCCTACCTCCTCTCATCATGGTAGTTGATGACTTCTGAGGCTGTCACTCACTGGATAGCAGTGTAACAGCAGTTCATCCTGTCCCATTTGGAAAGTGGAGTCCTGGGACAGGTGCTGACTCTGCCTCAACTGTTGTCACCTTTTCTAACAAACACAAGTGGGAATAGGAGTAGAAAATAATGGACATATCCCACTCTGAGCATATTCATTCCCAATCTACCACTGTCCTTTGCCTCATGCCTCTCTCCTTCCCTGAAAGTTTATCCCTGAAGGATGGTCTCAGATTTCCAGCAATCCTTCTAACTCAGGGGCCTTTATTGTTGGGTTTCCTTTTTATTCTTCTTTTCCATGGATGCTTTTTTTCCTGCCCTAACATGACATTTGAAGGACAATGGGAAGGAGGCATCTTAGAGATCTGAGGAGTTAGTCAAGGTATCACAGTGTTCCATTCCTCTATCTTATTGTGGATGGAAACCTACACTTAAGAATTGTGGCATGCAAAAAGAATGAAAACAAAACTGAATTAACATCTTTTTCTACTGGTCCTCAACCAATCAAATCTCAGTTATAAAAGAAAAACTGGGGAGATTCTTCCTGTGATTTCTAGATGAAGTATAAGCATTGTGCTACCCTCAAAGACAAACAGGATTGAGGGAAGGTGGCCTCAATTAAACCAGCTATCTAACCACAGAGCTTTAAATCCTTTTCCTGTCTGCAGCAGCAGAATCTGGAAGAAGAGAAGTTATACAGTTGCCCCACAGAGATGCCTCTTTGCTGTCTCAGTCTGGATGCCTGTGGTAACAGTTGCAGTAGGAACAGCCCACCTGGAAGTCTTCCTGTCAGCATCACTGGATCCTGGGAACCCACAATTTCCTGCTCTTCACCAAGTTCTGGATAGCCAGTAAGCATTGTTAGACTTACTTGATGGGGGTGATTTACTGTAATCTGAAAGTGCAGTGGAAGAGGAAGGAGAGACTGAAAACTTCCATGTGCTTGGTGTCAAATGGTATCTGAGGGACTTAACATGTGACATAGATTGTAGATCTCCATCTAAGAAAGATCCTGAAACATCGACACATTGTTAGTAACATCTTAGACAACATCAGTGCTCTAGAAGCAAGGAAGTTCCATGCACAGAGTGAAGCATGATCAAGCATGCCCGACCCTACTGTAATAGTGCTACTACCCCATCATAAAGAACGAGGGCACCATCAGTGTTGTGCCACAATACCACATGCTTGTTTCCATACAACACACACAAATGTGTGCCCACATTCATACATTTAAAAACATGTATGTACCTACACCTTTGCACACACACACACACACACACACACACACACACACACACACTCAGAATTATACTTTGAAATTAAATTAGATGTATAATAAATTGGCATAACAAGAAATTAAAAAGAAACAAACAACCTTTTTGGCATTGGTATGCATGTGTGTGGTATGCATGTGATATGCAAAACTATGAGTACAGTTATGTGCATATTTTTATAAGTATCTATATGATATTCCTAATATGTACAACCATATCTAACTGCATATACATGTGTATATAAATATAAAGATAAACTGAAATCCCAACTCCCAGACGCCAGCCAAGGACGCAGTAGAACTTTCCGAGTGGCCGGCTTGATGTGTCAGCTCTTTCCTGCCTTCAACTCTGAGTGACTGTTATGTTTATTAACAGTATCATTCATTTGAAACAAAATTCCAAACAAATTTTTCACAATGCCTTTTAATATTAAAATATTCTCTAACTTTCAGAACCACAAGAAAACCCTCTAAGGCAGAAAGCCACGAGTCGATCATGAAAAGTACCAGGGAAGGGCCAATGAGATGGGTAGCTGGGTGGAAGGAAAGAGCTGACTCCTCCTAATTTGTTCATTGACCTCCATATGAACGGAATGACAGAATGGCATGATGTGTATTCTATGTTCATTCTTTCTCCATTGTATAGATGTATGTATTTCCTCATCACAAAATAAGTCGATAGATGGATGTTATTATTTTAAATACCAATCAGAAGATTTCTATACACTTATCTTATGATATAATTAATTTTTAAAATAATGAAAAAAATCTCACACAGCTCACAACTGTTTGTAACTCCAGGAGAAGAGGAGTTGACACTCTCACACAGGCATACATGAAGGCAAAACACTAATGTACATAAAATAGCAAATAAACAATTAAATATTTGTAGGAGCTAGTGGGGTCAGGAGTCCTACAAGCATCCCACAGAACTAACTAACCTAGGTTCATAGTGACTCAGAGACTGAACCACCAACCAGGGAGCATGCATGGGACTGACCTATGTCCTCTCCATGTATTTTATAGTTGTATAACTTGATATTCTTGTGAGATTCCTAACGGTGAGAGCAGGGCATGTCTCTAATGCCTGCTTTTGGGACCCATTCCTCTTACTGAATTGCTGTGTCCAGCCTTAATGTAAGAAGTCATGCCTAGTCTCACCACAACTTCATATAACATGGCAGGCAGAAATGCACAGGAGGCCTGTCCATTTCTGAAGAGAAAAAGAGAGAAGGAGGAATGGATGGGGAGCAGGAAGAGTGGAGGGTGGAGGAGGGACTGAGAGGACAGGATGGAGGGGAAATTTTGGTTAGGATATAAAAACAGAAATAAACAAATAAATAAAACCAAATTTATTCCAAAAGAGGAAGAATATTGATGGTTACCATATTTAAATTTGAGATACTAAAAGAATGTCCCTCCAGGGACTTTGCCACTTATTTTAACTTTATAATGTGTTTCCACTTATAAGGGATTTCTGGGGATGTCTTTCTGTATGCTGTGAATGTGTTGCTCTGAGTGATTGATAAATAAACGCTAGTTGGACAGTAGCCAGGAAAGAAGTATAGTATTGGCAGTATAAGCAGAGAGGAGAATGCTGGGAGTGGAAGGATGTGTCAGGAGCCGCGTACCGCCACCATGAGAAGTAAGATGTAAAGTGCCAGTGAGCAACAAGCCACATGACAACTTATAGATTAATAGAAATGGGATAATTTAAGATATAAGAACTGGATTGCAAGGAGCCTGCGACCGCCATACACTTTTTAAGTATCTGTGTGTTTACTTGGGTCTGAGTGGCTGCAGGAGCTGGGTGGACACAGGAAAACTCCAACTACAAGGGATAATTAAATCATGTTAGAGATAATTTTGAGCTGGTCTAATACATAATACCTTTGTGTTGTACTTGCAATAATTATATCATATTTAGGCAATAATAAGACATGGTTATTGTTTTACATTTGGAAATTAATCATGACATAAAAGATATAATTGTGTGTCAAGTTGACAAGGGTGCAGATGTGATACCTATTTTTGTTTGTCACATTTATTACATCTGGAATTAACTAAAACCCCAAAATGGAGGGGCATGCCTATAAGGTACTTTTGCTTAATTTGAAGAGAGAAGATCCACATGTAGTCCTGATCTTTGCATTAGGTAGACATACTTTTAATATGGATATTGATGAGGAAAGAAATACCTATATCTCAGATGTTTTGAGCCCCAAATCCCGCCTGTAATCTCAGCCAGGCCTTGTGCTGGAAGCCCATATAAGGAAATGGAAGAAGGGAGCTTTTGCTCTTTAGCTGCTTGCTCTCACCTTGCTAACAAGTCCATTCCTTCACTGCCATTGGAGCCAACTTCCTTGGGATTCCAGACTATTCTGATGATGCACTGAGACATCAAGCATAGTGGACTGAGCAACTCATAGATTCGAGGACTTTGCCATTATAGCCAGCCAATGTTCAGTTAGCCGGACCACAGCCTCTAAGTCATTCTAAAACATAGCCTTTTGTATATATAGAAATTCATTCTGTAAGACGTTACCCCATAAAACCCTGACCAATGCACCAGACAGGTATAGAACTTTTAGAGTAGTTTGGGCCTGACAACAGCCTTATCTCAGTTCTAAATTCCACATGGTCACATTCCCTTATCCTGGTTTTAGATGATGCTTTGATGCTGGCCTACAAGGTTTCTGTAGCTTCTGGGTAAGAAAGTAAAAAACACAAGTCTGAAAATAACACAATTTCTCAAATGGAACACACAGTAATCTAACTAAACAAGTAATTATATGAGATGGAGAGATTCTAGCTTAAGTGAGGAATGAAAAACCAGATGTCTTAGCTTCTGTGGGCCAAGACCTGGCACAGCCCCACCACATGAAGACAGAGGACAGGAGGTTCTTTTTACCCTTGATGTGATAGCTCCAGTCTGGAGATCGATGGTATAACTTCCTTTAAACATGAACTCTCTGCTTCACTCTCAGTCTCAGGAGTCAGATCTATTCCAGAGGAGCTTCACAAGAGTCAATCAGTCATCTGGAAGAACTTTCTCAACATAATCTGAGATCTGCTGTGGTAAAAGAGCAGCATCAACCACCTCTCTCCTTTTCAGTCTGTACAGAATCACTCTGCACCAGAGACATGGGGCCCCTGTGCAAGCTCCATCCACTCCACCTTGTCATGAGGTTCCTCCCAACATTGCTTATCTGGACCGTCAAGAGGGATTCCTCACCCCACCTGCACCCCAGGACAGTCTTCTCATTTCTGCATTTCGTAAGACAGTCTTAATATGTGTTGTCAACCTAGAAGATATCTAGCAAATCTGTGCCAGTCTGACAGTGAGTGATACTGGTGCAGGATCTTGAACCTATGAGAGCCCTGCATGGATGTATGGCAGCCTAAGACAATTAGCATGCCTGTCCCAACAGGTTTCAAGAATCTTTTGGTTGGGAGTGATCCAATCCACTTAAGACAGTACACATGGCTGGGAGGACAGGGTCAATTGCAGGGACTGGAGAGTTGGCTCATCCATGAAGAGCATTTATTGCTGTCTCAGAAGACCCACGTGACAGCTAACAAACCTCTCTAACCTAAATTCCAGGTGGAATCTGCCCTCACCTGGCCTCTGTGGGAATTGCATGTGCATGGTGGCCAAACACCCATAAGTATAAAGAAAAGCACCACAAAATATTCCAACATGTCCTGCAGGAAACTATCTCTTCTTCTCTGTTATCATTCATGTTATATTTCAAGAAAACTAGAGGCAGATTGCTTTTCATTTCCTGATTTCTTTTATACAATTTTAATGAATATTCTAATTTCCAGAGAGCCCTGAAGCAATAGACTTGTTTTTCTCTTTAATTTGGTGTACATGATGATTTCGTGAACATGTGTGTACAGTGTACCTCACTTTACTGGCAGCTAAATATATGACGTCAAGGATACAATATGTCTAGTTTTTCTATTATGTAGTGGGTATCCGTGGAGTAGGCTATTCCATCCACATCCAAGGTGTCATCCTCCTGTGTAGCCCTGTGACCCATGGCTGAGAAATCCTTGTGCAGCCCAAGATTCCTGAAACTTGCTGAGATACATCCAAGCCTTTGAGATCAGGGTTTTCAGCAGTGTGAAACCTCACCTGACTAAAGAAGAGTCTCAGAGTGAAGCTGAAATTGGATTTTATTCATAAAAATACATTCATTTTACTCAGTGGGATCTTTCAAAACAGCAGTCCTTATCTACAATGTATAGCCTTAGCAAACTATTAAAACAAAATAAGAACAATTAACAAAACTTTAAACCAAAACGAAGAAAACCAAAATCCAAAGCATAAATATCCCAACATATAACCAAAAAATTAAGCAAATTTCAGGATCCTTTGGAATTTCATTATGGAAGAGCAAATGAGGTAAGCATCTGGCTTATTCTCTGCAGTGAATTATCTTCAGCAACACTAGCACATGACATGGCATCAGCTTCAGCACTGCACTAGAGAATCTTATGCTTTGGGTGTAGTCTGTCTGGATGGCAGTGTGATGTTAACACAGTCTTCCTTGTCAGATTTCCATCACATACAGAAACAGCTTGTGGAAGCCCTTGATAGTAAGTCCACTGAATAATTCTTGCTCACCCACATGTCCTCTTCCATGTTGTTTTGCCCCTCACTGGGGCCACGTGCTGATGGATGTCAGGGTTCTTAGTAATTTGTATTGTGTCCTTTGAAACTCAGACTATTTCTGATACAATCTTTTGTCTGGGAATAATGAGTCAATTGTTATAGATCAGATTGTGGCTGGATCGCCTGATGGTAGGTTGATATTTGCCTCACTAGTGAATTCATAGCTGAAAAGAGGTGGCATTTTCTGAGGAGGCCGTGAACCTGGAGTGTAGAATGTCATGCCTTCAAGGTGTCTCTGGCTTCTTCCAGCCTTCTTAGTTTTCTGAAGGGATGCTGTCATGGAAAATCGGTAAAGAAAATAGGATTTAGAAACAGTTTTGCTTGCCACTGTCAAGAACAATCAGGGCCTATTCATCCCTAGTAAACAAAAGTTAAGAAATAAAACACACCCCATGAATACCCTGGCTGCTGGGGATGGGACTCAATGGTGGCTTACTTGCCTGGAACATTGTGTTTCTGCCCCAGCAGCTCCATCTGCAGGAGGCTCTGTTCCTGGGCTGTGGTCTGCTCCAGTTCCTGCTGGAGGTTTTCAAACCTAGGGGAGGAAGGCAGCTGGGGCACAAGCCTGGTGAGGACCTGCCCTGTCAGCTTTTGAGCCCCCACCAGCTCTACTCAGCTAGACAATCAAGCATTACTTTTCAGCTGAGTTCATTCCCTGCTTCCTCAAGGGAAAAGGGTCAGAGAGCACCTGGGCAGGATTTTTTTCCTCAGCTTTTAAAAACTACTAGAAGTTGAACTGGTAAGTACACACTTTGCTGGATTAGAAAAAAACAGCGTATTTCTCCAACAGTCCAAAGACATCATTTTGGAGAAATATCAGTATGTCAAGGTCTGAGGCACAGGTCAGGAAAGATATCCCTGGCCTTGAGTAGATACAGGTGACTGTGAACTTCCTGGAAAACTCTATGCCCGCCCTCTAGTGGAGCCTACACAGGAATGCAGAGAAGACTCTGGTTATTCCTACAGCTCAGAACACTGCATGGGATTAACTTGTCAGCTCCTACTCTGTTTATGACCAAGAGTAAATCTTCTCAGGAGAAACTGATAAACACTGCAGAAAGCCTGCAGTCAGCAGGGGTGTGCTGTATACAAATCTGCAAAGGGTGGACACTTATGTCTAAACGTGATGTTCCTGATGGAAAAGATGCAGGAGGACACACTTTCCTTCACGGTCAATGATCCTCCTTTCCACGTTTCTGGCTGCCGTGGGAATATTTGTGGGGAGATCTAATCTAAGGGATGAGATACTCAGAGCATACTAGAGGTCTCAGAAAGGAAGAAGGGGACACAGTCCCCTAAGACCAAGGAGAGAGCCTATTGCTCCTAGACACAAGTTCCTGTTGACTGAGCCAGCAATGACACTCTGAGGGGTTCTTTCCCTGCCTGTGGCTGGGAGCTTTGCCAATTGATAAAACTCAAATAGCACGGAGATCCAAGTATAGCGTACCCACTTGGATCCACCTGCTTCTTGAAGCCTGGGCTCCTACCTCATCTGGGACACAGTGAAGTGTTCCTGCAGCTTTGCTGCCAAGTCCCTTTGCCTGGTAAGCAGCTCCTTTTGCTTCAGCAGGGCCTGAAGATTTTTCTCAAGCCTTTGATGTTCCTGTTCATTAGAAGATTGTGTTTTTAGGGGAGGTTTCCTCACCATGTACATAAATATGCATGCGTGGGTGCACTCTCTCTGTCTCTGTCTCTCTCCAGCACACACATGTATATCCATGCACACATACAAGTACACTACATTCCATCCATGCTTAGTTTCCCAGATAACACTAATGTAAGAAGAGATCGCCTGGGATACTATGGAGAAGAAAGTTACCTTTCATTAACCTACATCCTCTCTACCCATATTCCAGCCCAGAAGCAAGAAACACAGGATGCTCTGAGCACAGGATGTGGAGATTGTGTACTCTTACTCGGTTTTTATAATTTTTCAGTTTATTTTTAGTCTATATGTTCAGGTGTTCAGCCTGCCTGTGTGTGTGTGTGTGTGTGTGTGTGTGTGTGTGTGTGTGTGTGTGTATGGCACTTGCATGCCTGGTGACC